GCGGCCGCCGCCGCCGCCGCCGCTGCCGCCCCTCGCGCCCGCCGCGGCGCCCCCGGCGCCGCCGCCGCCGCCCGCCGCCGCGGCGCCCGCGGACGTCGCGGACGCCGCCGCGCCGCCGCCGTGCTTCCCGCCGCCCGGCGACACGGAGCGGCGGCCGCCAGCGTGAGTGCGGCCGTCTATGTGGTCTTTTGTTTTTTTTAGCCCCGGCGAGCGTCGACCGGGCCGGGCATCTCGGCGCCGCGCGGCGAGATCTACGCGCGGCTACTGCTGCCCAATGCTCGGCCATGCCTTGGTTGCGCTTCTCGTTGCATGCGTTTTATTTTAGTTGAACCATCCAGGCTGCACCCTCGGGACGCGCGTCGGATCGGAAGCTTGCTCTCCGAATCTGCCGTCGCCGGCGCCGCATGCGCGCCGCGTCGTACGACAAGTCGGGCCGCCGGCGGCCGCGCAAGGGCATGGCGCCGGCGCGGTGGCAGGCGCGCCACACGCAGCTCCTGCTGCTCTTCGTCGCGCGGCTCGTGCAGAGCGTCATGCGCATGGCCATGGGCCCCCTCGTCGTCTACGTCTGCGGCGACCTCGAGTGTGGGCCCGAGGCGCGGGGCAGCCTGCTCAGCGCCTTCGCCCTGGGCTACCTGGTCACGCAGATCCCCGGCGGCTACGCGTCGGACCTGCTGGGCTCGCGCGCCGTCGTCGCGGGCGCCGTCGTCGTCGCGGGGCTGCTCACGTTCCTCGGCGGCGGCGCGGCGGACGCGCGAGAGCTGTGGTACCTCCAGGTCGCCATGGGCGCGGCCCAGGGCCCGCTCTTCCCCACGTCCGTCGCGCACCTCGCCCGGTGGCTGCCGCGCGACGAGCGCGCGTTGGCGTCGACGGTGCTCGACGCGGGCATCACCGCGGGCAGCCTCGTCGTGCGCAGCGTCCTGCGGCCGGTGACGATGTTCGAGAGATTTCGGGTGGGGAAACGATGAACCATCGTGACCGACGTGCTTGGTAGGTTGTGCTGCCCTTCAGCGGGCGCCTCGCGGCGGCCCTGGGCTGGCGCGCCGTGCTGCGTTTCTACGGGCTCGGGGCCGTGGCCTTCGGGGGCTGGTGGTGGGTCGCGGCCGTCGGCGACCCGGAGAATTCCAAAACCATCGGCGCGGACGAGCTCGCGCTCCTGCGGGCGAGCGCGCCCGCGGCGCCGTCGAACCCGAGAAAGACCAAGGCGAACTACGGCGCCC